CTGGACAAAACACAGCAGACGGATCACAAACGCACGCAACCCAGAGAAACGGACACGACCGGAGCCCACGACCGGAGAGCGCACCGGGGCTGGTCAAAGCCCGAGTCGGCACGGAAGACACGATTATCCCCGACCGAAATAGTGGAAGGCTGCGGTCCTCCTCCGCACAACGCGCCGGAATTTGTCCGACAGCCCTCTGATAAAACCTTTGAGGGGACGCCACTTTCCCCCCCCAATCGTTGAATTTCTCTTGGACTGCCCTGGCCGCTCTTCTCAACAGAAAAAAAAAAAAAAAAAACTGTCCCATTTGCACTATTTACAGAGGGGTAAGAAAATGCAAGCAAATGGTTTCGCTTGAACACGTGGCGGGGCGGAATCCTCTTTGATTGGAGTTGGATTGAAGTTGGTTCCTGGTGTCAAACGACTCCAAGAAACTCAGCGCCCGCCTTTGCAAGTGAGCTGTGCCTTTGTGAGACGCACACCCCCGAGTGACCCAAGACGACTTTCTGGGGCAAGTGACTCCCTTTGAAATGCGGCATGTGCCAACTTGTTGGAATTTGGCCCCCCCCCCCCCCCCGTGCGATCTTATGGGTGGATATTTCCTCATCCAGATCGGGAAGGGGCTTCGCCGAGCGGCGCACCAAACCGAATGGCTCCTGGAGCTCAAATCCGGTTGCGCGGCGCGTGCGGAGCATAAGTTCTGGAAGTGACCTGGGACAAAAAAACCCTTCCTCGGAACGCAAGCAACCCCGCGAGTCCAAACGAGGGCCGAAGAATTGGAGGTCGCACTTACAAAAACGTGCAGCGCCGTGGACGGGACTCGAACCTCCACGCAGGCCCCCGACGGCGCCTCGCTGTTTTCCGGAGACGCGCTCAAGGAATTTGCGCCTCGTCGTCTGCTGAGGACAACAACTCTGAAGAGGTCTCGTCCAATCGGGAGCCTCGGGAACGTTCCGCCCGACGCGTGCGCTCACCCAAAGATGTTGGAGATGGAGTCCAGCAGACCGCCAGGGGGCATCTGGGAGCTTTTCTTACTGAAAGACAAGATATTTGATTCGTGCGGCGCCTTTGACAATAAATCTGGCTTTTAATCTCGTGGAAGACGAGAAAAAAAAAAACTGCTTTGCTGTTTTGTGCTGGGGGCAAAGCGAAAAAAAAAAAATCTCTCTCACTCGCTCTCTCTCTCTCTGAACAACTGCTCTGAGTAACGAGAGTGGCGACCAAACAAATTCAACTCACGTCTCGCGGCACCACCATGCAAATACTTTCATGTCAAGCATTTAAATGCAGAAATTGGAAAATGCAAAAGA